AGTAATGTTTGGGTCAACCTTAAAGAATGAAAGTTGTTCATCTATGTGTTTAATATGCCTGTATAAAATTTTATAATATTTGGACCTACACATTAAGAGTTATACCAATTATAGTGAGGGTTGTTTCGAAATACATTCTGCTGGAATTTTGAGAGAAGAATCTGCCCGAATCTTGTGAGATTTATTTGATGCTGTTAGAATGATTTTTGAGAAAAACGTAAAGAATAAAAGTTGTTTGTCTATGTGTTTACTAGCTCTATATAAAATTTCATAAATGTTGGATACATATAGAAAGCGTTATGCACATTTTAGTATAGATGGGTTAGGAGGAAACACGGTTGGAATTTTGGAGGGAAAAGAAATTCTGAATTTTAAAAATGGAATTTCTGAATTATTGATGAAAGAAATTTGTCTAATTACATTAACCCAGCTTACTAATGTTTTTTTTATTTATCCTAACTTTTCTTTAGCCACCTAAACACTTGAATTAAATGCTTAGAAGCCAAATCATCACCTTTGACTTCCAAAACATGCCAGCTTTGCCTTCCAAGCTTCCTCCACTTTACATTTGGCCTAATTAAATTTTAACACTTATGATATAAATAAATGTGAGGATAAAAGGTGAGTATATAAGGGAAAGAGAGGGTTAAATGGCTGCCATTTTTAGGTCAAAAATCGTAGCCATCCAGAATTCAAAAGAGAAGCCAAATTGAAGAGAGAAAAACAGCAAAAAGAGAGAAAGAAAGAAAAGAGAAAGAAAAGGGAAAAAGGAAAGAAAAAGAGCTAAAGAAATTCTAATCAAACTTAAAAGAGGTAAGTAGGTTTCATTTATTTTGGTTGATTAATGTCTTAAATTATTTTTTTTAAGTTATTTTGTTAGTGTTTATTTCATGGGTTGTAATAATTTTCAATGGTTATATGCTTGATGCTTAGAATAAATCTATGTATGGATGCCTTGTTGTGATGATTTATGATGTTTATGTTGCTTTGAAAATGTCCAAGTATGTGGTGATGGGTTGGATTGAACTTGGACCAAATTTAAGTGAACTAAAACATGTTTAAAGTTGGATTGGAATGAACTAATAAATTAGTGTTAATAAGGAGTCAATTCTGTCCGAATTTTGGGGTGTATATTCAAGGATTTTAGATCGATTTCTAGGTGAAACTTAAAGCATAAAAGTTGTTCATCTATGTTTAAACTAACTCCCTTTAAAATTTCTTGGTCATTGGATTCGTGTACAAGGAGTTATACCCGATTTAGTATGGATAGCTCTAGATAAACCACTATTAGGCAGATTGCTCCCTAAGTTTCAAAAATTTATAATTAATTGTGTAATTGGTATTTAGACCTAATTTTTGGATATGTTATAAATAAATATGTCTAGTATCTAAAATAAAATAAGTAAGATTTAATTATTTTTTGAAATTAGAAAATTATTTACTCGATTAGGAGTTGCCCGGTAATAAACCCTAAAACAAAAAAAAATAGACTTGGACAAAATTAATAGGTTTGGAATAAACTAAATGAGCTTGGACTAAATAAAATAGAATTAAATAGAGTCAATGGGCCTAGGATAAATTTAATGGGCTCGAATTAAAGTAAATGGACTTGGACTTTCTTTTAAATATTAATGAAACTAATGAACAATATTAATGAGAGAAGATTGTGTTCCCGCTATGGGTATCGGGATTGGTATGTGAGAAATGAATAAATTTTAAGTGTGGGTTGGACCATGAGTATGGCATGAGAATGAAGGGTTGGTACCCGAATTTGGTTGAATGTGATTAAATATGTCATCACGTGCATCATGTGCATAGTGGGTGGTTTAAGACAAGTCAATTGATTGAAAATGGTTTATACATCTAGGTTTGATAACCTAACTAGAATAAATGGGTATTAGTAGTCCAAGTACTCTAGGATGTATGCCCGCACTATTAGACGATCGATTTTCGCTAATAGTAGTTACGGCGAGGGATAATTCCGTTGTAGCGAGAAGATGATCCGAGGATCATCCGGATGAAATCAAACTGTGTGCTTACTCGTTAGATGATGGATTCTCGCTAACGGTAGTTACAACGAGGGATAATTCTATTGTAGCAGAAAGTGATCTGCGGACCACCCGGATGATAAATAGAGTAGATCGGCTAATACCCGTGGTACCCGAGATTAAAATTTATGAGTATGGTGGGAAGTCAAAACAACATTGCATATCACGTGCATCACCTTGCTTACCGAGCTTCGGCTTATCCCGTTGTTATTTTTTTTATGTCTTGACGGAAAAAACACGAGTTGGTACGGATGCGGTCGGCTCCTCCTAATCGGCTCATGTGAGGCACTATTTATTAGTTTTTATTTTGTCCGTAAATTTGGGGTATGGAGTTCGTGAGAAATTGAATATCGCCCGTAATGTTTTATTAATGTATTTAATTATGTTATGTAAATTTTATCTTAAAGAGTTATATACGTAATGTACTTGTTAAAGTCCTAAGAATATCATAAGAAAACTACTTAGAGTTTAGGGTATGTCGGTGTAACGCGCTTCGTCCGAGCACTCTACTTGGGTAGTAGAAATATGAGCGAGGCGGGGGTGTTACACTTATATCGCTTAAGACTTCATAAGAGAAAATCACCGGTTATTAACTATCGAAAACATAATCCTCTACTTGTCACTTCTATGGCTCTCATACACTTTAGTGTCCTACATGCGTCTATCGCCACTTATTTTTAATCACACACTCTCGGAAAAGTAAAATATCGTCTCATCAAATGGTTATCACCGAGTCAAAACTATTTTTCCTACTCGAATGGATGAGCGAAACGCAATCAATTACTTGCTGGTCCACATAATGGGCACATCGTGGGCAACAATTAGAAGTAATTGAGCTTGTGGGCCTCGACCTTAAAAGACATGCTTGAACCTAAATCAAACCAACTTCTTAAGCCCTTGTAGCATAAACCCATTCTTTTTTGGGGAACTAAAATATTTTCTCAATTATTCTTTTTAAAATCCTTTCATTTTCAAATATGAAATGTTGAAGTACATAACCGTTAGCTACTAACACAAAAATATAATTAAATAGATTGATGAAGTATTTCATGACAAGGACTTGGAAAATATAGAAAGAAATATTCATTTGGAGAAACACAAAAAACTAATATAATGATATCTTTTTTGTGTTTACTTATGTGTTATACATTAATCGGAGAACTCGAATCGCTTTCTAAATGTCAAATCCCGAAAAACAAAGGAAAAAGAAAAAAAAACTTATGTATTTAAGAAATTTTATAATAGTTACTCAGTGGGCCTCGCTTTTCGGGAAAGAGATAGATAAAAAGAGAAGAGAAAAATAAGAGAGAAATTTTTTTAAAAAATGGACCCAAGGTAGAATCATATATTGATCAATAAAAAATGATAAAAAAAAATTTCACCTTGGCTCAATTTATTTTTGAATTTTTTCTCTTATCTCTTTCTTCTCTTTGTGTTTATCTCTCTTAAAAAATAGATCTATAAAATAATTACTATACATATACAATAATTATTTTTTAAATATCTGTATTTTTTTCCATACTATTTTTCGTTTGAAAAAGAAAGAAATGGAAAATCAACTCGAGGATTGAGGCCTTTCTCTCCCGACGTGGCTTGCAAGAGGTGTGACATCGGGCTGCACCCAAAGGCATAACACATGTTATATAGCCTGTGATTTTTTATGGCATCATCAAGGACAAACATGATGGGGCCCATAACCAACCTTTCCACGTTCATAATCCTGGCGTGTCTTATTCCCGTTACTGATATAATGTTTAGAAAGAATCTTCCTACTTCTCACTTCGTTAGCTTTCATGCACCTCAACTCACTACACATCCATCGTCGCTGATTTCGATCACATCAAAAATAAGAATCCCATTGAACGGCTTTCACCAAGTCAAAACTATGCTACTGGCTTCCACTGCCTAATCCCGCCCAACAGGCGTAATCTATTTGTGCTTGGCGTTGCCTGTCCAATTACTTCAGGGATAACTACAAATAAGACCCCCTAGAACGATGGTGATTTCTAATCAGTCCCCGTCCCCAATTGATGTGAACAGCCCTCGGGCCTAACATCTGATTTTGAGTTTTAGACACCAAATCCAAGTTCATAATACAATATTATATATATATAAAATAATTCATGATTCATTGAAAATTTAGATTAGTTGAGATATGATAAAATAAACATCTTCATTATATTAAAATAATAATTTATCACAATTAAATCTAATTCTACACTCGAAATAGAAATTTGATTTCAAACTGAGTTATACCATATACTTAATTTTCATTGAAAGAGAAAAAAATCCACGCACACACATAAAAGCTAATTTATACATACAAATTGTTAATAAACTCAAATCAAGTTCAATTCATGATTAATGATTAGCTGAACTTATCGTACTCAATGTCAAGAAAGAAGTTTTTCTAGCAAGGTTTATAAGTTAAGGATGTTGAACATTACAAATAGGGATGGTAATGAGACAGAGTGAGGTAGGGATGGCCATCCCCTTCCCTGTCCTTGTCTGGTTTCTCGTTCGAGGCATATTTCGTATATCATCTTTATCCTAAACGAGATGGGGGCGTGGCAGGATGAGATCTTGTCAGAATATCATTCCTAAAGGCAAAAAGACGAAATGAGGGGGATGACCATCCTCGTCTCCACCTTTCCACTCCGTGCTCTATTTGAAACATATTTCGCATATCATCTCCGCTTTAAAAGAGGCAAGACTCCGTTGAGACGAATCAGATTGCCATCCCTAATCACATAAATACTTCATTAATTATTTTCCATTGCAAGAATTTATAGTTTAGGGACCGGTACGTACCATGCGTAGATGGGTTACCTTATTTTTAGTTATAATATTATTTGGTGGTCTTGGAAATGTCGTAGGACCGCAGCGACATAATAGGCTTAGAAGAGAGAGAAGAAAGGAAAAGTAAAAGAACCAAAGCTGATCACCAGAGAGATGGCAGGAGAGAGGACAGTGGGTGTAGCCGTTGATTTCTCCTCATGCAGCAGGGAAGCACTGAAATGGGCCGTGGATAACATTATCCGTGATGGGGATCACCTTGTCCTGATCACTGTACGCCCTGAAGGTTACTATGAAGATGGCGAGATGCAGCTATGGGAAGTCACCGGGTCACGTCTGTAACTTCTCTGTGTCTCTCTGCATATGTCCCTATCTTTTTTTTTCCCGGGAAAATTTTTTTTTGTTCGTAATATTTTTCTTTCCTTTCATGTTCATTGTTTCTTTTGTTTTGTTTTGTTTTTGGTTTTTGTTTATTTTACAAGGAAATTTCTACTCTTCAAATTAAGAAAAAGTGGAAAGTTTCAATTTAATTTGGATCATTGGATTGCCATTCTTTTGGGTTTGATGTAATGGGAATTTTATGATTTTTATAAATTTTTTTTACCGAAGATTGGTTATATTTTGTGCTCGTGTTATTAATCTTGATTTTCAAGGGTGTTCGTTAACTTGCTTTTTTCTGCAGCTATGATCCCTCTAGTAGAGTTTTCTGATCCTCTGATCATGAAGAAATATGGGTTGAAGCCTGATCCTGAAACTCTTGATATCCTCAACACTGCTGCTCGTCAGAAAGAGGTTTGTATATAAGCATAACCTTCTTCAAATGCATGGATTAGTCACAGTTAATTAAGTTATTTTTGGCGATAATATTGCAGGTCCTAAAATAGAGTACTAACCATGTTGTTGAATTTTAAGTAGATTGTTGTGGTGGTGAAGGTCTATTGGGGAGACGCTCGTGAAAAGATATGTGAAGCAATTGATAAATTACCTCTGAGTTGCCTTGTTATTGGCAACAGAGGGCTTGGCAAGATTAAGAGGTACAATAATCCCATCAACCATCTCATAAAATGGCTTCGATTTGTTGAATCATTATAGTGTGGATTGTGTTTTTTTTTTTTCATGGAAATCATTTTAATTCTTGTGATTCACATTCATTCAATTGGCTAAAGTGAAATTGACTTCTTGAGTCATGGTATGATAACTAGTTGGACCTTTTCAATTTGGAATTTGCAGACAGAGAATGTTATGGATAAGTTTCCTGTGCGTGCATAAGAAAATCTTGTTTGTTCATTACATGATATGATATTATGTTCGCCTTTTTCGAGTCTAATTTTGAAAACAAAACTGCTTTAAAACACTGGCCCAAAGTGTTTTCTTTTTTCCTGGTCCAATGGAAGTGGGATAGAAAGAGATGGTGGTGGATATTTTGAGATCAACTTGCAGCAACTAGCTTTGCGTGGTTCGTTTGGGCAATAATTGGGTCCCATGGCTAGACCGCTTGACCTAATTTGGACATGGATTGTTTTCTTCTTAATTCTTGTATGTTTGTACTTTTTGGCAGGGCTATCTTAGGTAGTGTAAGCAACTATGTGGTGAATAATGGATCCTGCCCTGTTACTGTTGTGAAGCATGCAGACCATGAACCCTAAGCCAATTTACCCTTTGCTCGAGGAATAAGCGCGATGTTCTCTTTGGTTGAGCTTGGATTTCTTTTGCTGGCCGGGCTCTTAAATTTGCATGGCATGTGCAATTATGTTGTATCAAATAAAATATGTTGTATGTTGTTTGTAACTTGTTGAATTTGACTAATTTCTGAATGGGATAATTGCATTTTCAGTACATCAATTTTACATTTTTTTTTCAATTGAGTATATTAATTTTCATTTTTTTCTTTTTAGTATATCAATTTTTTTAAAATTTTTAATCAAGTTTTTCTGCCTAAATTACTATCAATGGATGACATGGCAGTTAACTCAAAAGATGGAATTTTTTTTTTTTGGCCTTGTTTTTTCTTTTCTCTAGAACTGTCTATTACGAGTTTTGTTTTGTTTTCTCTTTCTTTCTTCTTTCCCATTCTTCCCTTTCCTTTCTTCCTTCTCCTTTATTGCATTTTCAAAAACCAAAATAGTTTCTTCTTCACTTATCCTCCTCTTTTTTTGTCATCTTGCACCCTAAACTAAAGTCCTGTTGGCGAGACTCTCTCAATTTTCTTTGAAGCCATTCTCCAAACAACAGGCCCAAGATCAGCAGCAAAGCGAGCTAGACTTCTTGCATAACCCATACCTAGAAATTACAGACACCAATAGCTATTGGATAAAGATAATGATGACGTCCATGTTATATCTTTTCAAAAGCAATTAATTTGGAGATATTAATTCAAAAGCAACTTCTAGGGAAGGAATAGAAACCCTAGAAAAAGCTTGCGAACGGCACGCAGGAAAGGGTTCAGGCAGGTCAGGAGAAGATAATGATGACATCCATGTTATTTCTTTTCTTGGGTATTAAAGTGAAATGAGAATTCCTGTAGGACTGGGATATTGTATCTTCCAAAATTGGAGTTAGATTTTTCAGCCTTCCATCTCTCGGCCCTTAATTTGGAGGCAAATAGGCCGTGACCTTAGGGCTACTTCTAGAACTTAAGATTTATGACTTCTCCCTCCCTCTTTCTCTAATAATCTACCAAAAAATAGTTATAACAGGAACATCGGGACTCTTAATGAAATTTCTAGGGTCTGTTTAGTTGGCAATGACATTCAGAAAACTTCTACACCCCCCAGTGCTAGTCTCCGGTGTCTAACCAATGCAACTCCATTATACTATTCTTATGCTTAGGTTTTGGTAAGAACATTTACTTTGCCCTGCTGCTATCACTGGAACGGAAAAAGAAACTAATAAATTACCTGGAATATTGGTCTTCTATTTTTGGAGGACGATTGCAACTCCATAACCTTTTCCAGTTAAGAGTTGGAAACTTTTATGAAGCACTTTGAAAACTCTGAAACCAGAAAATGTTGAGCTGATTTAACAAGTCCATTGTTGAAATTAATTTTGAAATCTAGAATAATTTAAAAGTGAGCTTTCGAGGAGTCATTTTAGGTGTTGGGGTCATAACATCTTAGATGGAGAATTCATTCATATGAGGTGTATGACAAATACTTTAAATTAGTTGTTATTGATGGGTTGAAACATTTTAATTCTTTGATTGTTCCATCAGCTATTAAGTTTGTGAGACAATTTCCAATTAGGTTGAGAAGATTTAAAGAATGCATTCAACTAGAAAAGATTGATTCTAAGAGTCCGTTACAACTAGATGTCGCAATTAGGTGGAATTCAACATATTTAATGTTAGAATCGACTCTAAAGTTTGAGAGAGCTTTTAAAAGATATGAGCAAATTGATCCTTTATATAGGAGTGAATTTGACGTAGATCATGAAGATAATGTTGTTGGGCTAACTAATGGTGGTGATTGAAAGATTAGTAAGGAAATGGTGGGCATGTTGAGAGTTTTTCACAACCTTACTTTGCTTTTTTTTTTTTTTTCGGGTATTCATATATGACTTCAAATATTTATTTTGAAGAGATTTATGTGCTCAAACATGTTTTGAAAAAATGGCAACACAACATGGATTTGGATGATTTTTCATTGGCTAGTAAAATGAAAGAAAAGTTTAAGAAGTATTGAGAGGATATTAAGAAAATGAACGAGTTGATTTATATTGCGACGATACTTGATCCTGGACATAAACTTGTATTTATTGAATTTTGAATTAAGGAATTGTATGATGATTTAGAGGGTCAAAATATGACAAATATTATAAAGGAATCTATATATGCCATGTATGACTTCTATAGTCGTTTGTCAACATCTAAAGATCTAATTGGCCAAAGTAATGGGAGAATAGATGTGGATTGTACAAATGAAGAAATGGTTGATAAAGCGAGAAAGTAGAGTTAAATTAGAGATAATGATTGTACAAATGTGATATTGGAGGTGGAGGAAATAAACGAGTTGGATAAATATTTTGGTGAATATGCTTAAAATAATACCGTTGATTTTAATATTTTAGAGTGGTGGAAAACTAATTCTCCTCGGTTTTCCATCCTTTCACAAATGGCTAGGGATGTATTGACGAGTTGTTGTTTCTACTATTTCCTTAGAATCGACATTTAACACTAGAGGAAGAGTGCTTGAATGCTTTAGAAGTTCTTTAACTCCTAGTTTAATGGAATCTATCATATGTGCTTAAGATTGGATTAAAAATCGATCGAAACTAATTATTATTGAAGAAAATTTACAAGATGTTAAGAAAATGCAAGATGGTAATTTACGTAATTCGATCTTTTCATTTGTTTTTTCTTTCCTCTATAATGATAATGTTAAAGGGTTAATTTTTTGATCTTATATTTTTTTTTAAGATTTACCAATTGCCATTATCATTACTACGGATGTTTGATGGGTTGATGACTGATGTTTTGGCTTTTTTGATGACATGCATAAGTTATTAAGTTTTTAATTTTGATTATGTTCTTGGTTGGAATATGTTGATGGTTATGTGATGCAAAAGAGATATATATATATATATATATATATATATATATATATATATATATATATATATATATATATTCGGAGGAATATTTTTTCATTGTTGTGAGAGTAATGAACGCGACCAAGCATCCATGGTTGCGAATTGCTTGTAACTAGCGAGAATGATCAAAAGAATGAAGAAGAATTAGCTTTGTGTTGTTTGAAATATGTTTGACATTTGTTTGTGTGTGATTGATCGATTATTTTACATTATCTTACTCGTCTAATTAAATATGTTTCACATAATATTTGGTGAGATATTGAGCATTCAAATAGGAGCTAGTACTTGGAGTATGTAGATTACATGTTGAGCATTGAAACGATAGCCTACTATCCGATTGAAATATGTTTGACATATTTGGTGAGATATTAGTACTTGCACCATCTTTTTGGGGTGAGATGTTGTGATATTGTAATTGAAGATTTGAAGAATTGGATTTACTATTAAAGTGTTAATTTAAGTACTACAATGGTTGATGATCATCCTTCGAGCATACACGATTCATACCGGAATGGGTTATTTTAGTGATTAATTTCCGGATTCAAACTCATGTATATATAGTTAGGTTTGTTCTGTTTATGTTTGCTATCTTGTATGAACGGTTTCTACCTTTGAGGTAGGTAATTTATTTCTATCTAATTAAATATGTTTCACATTATATCCTCTCTCTTTTTGGTGAAAGGAAGAATTAATCCAATTCTTGACACAAAATTCATCGAATGAAAACTTCATCCATGCCTTTGTTATTTAGTTATTCTCTCCTAAACTTGTTCATGTGATCGGCTTTCGGTTATGTAGGATAGTGGTAAGTTATTTATGCTTGGCAAAAATTCTACGGATGAATGGGTTTTTTTTACAGCAAAATATTTCGGTTAAAACCAAAAATTTTCAAAATCAAATTGAAATAATTCAATTTCAAACTGAATTTACCGAACTTATTTTGATTTAGTTTCGGTTTTTGTTTTCTTTAATTCGGTTAATCAAAAACCGAATCAAATTATACAAAACCAAACTATTTAACCGTTTGCTCACCACTACAAAAAGGTGCCTAGCTCAAAATGTTTAATGCGACAACGTTGTTGGGCAAACACATTATTACAACTCAAGAAAAAACTTTAACTTTATGGGAGGATAAAGATTATTATTGAAAAATGAAAATTCATGTTTGTGATAAAAGCTTGATTTTAAAGGGTTGTATTTATTTATTTATGCTATAATGATTTTTTTTTAAAGAATAAATTATCTCATTCAATATTAAAAAAAATATATATAAGAGAATACAAATTGACTAGATAAAATTCAAACATTAAATGTGAATGTGTTTACACGTCTTAGGCTGATCAATTCTTTTTATCTAAAAATATAAAATACGGAGGAAATCAATAAGATATATGCAAGTAATACATGCAAGTATATATTTGATGTTGTAATCAAATATAATTACTAAAGAAATAAACAATACAAGCCTCCGAATAACAAGAGGACTAACATGAGAACAATGGGGGAAAAAAAATCTTTCTAGCCATCCCTTAACTTGAAATATGTTGAGAGCCCATATATTTATTGCTATAATTTAGTATACTATAAAAGGCAAGAATATTCTATGCTATATATATAACGAGAACAATGGGAAAAAAAAATAATTCTTTCTAGCCATCCCTCGAGTTGAAATATGTTGAGAGCCCATATATTTATTGCTATAATTCATTAGACTATAAAAGGCAAGAATATATATATAGCATAGAATATTATTGCCTTTTATAGTTTATATGAATTTTACGTGTTATCTTCTTTCTATATTATCATAAACATTTTTTTCTTAACATTTAAGTATATATTTTTATATTATCATATCTATATGGGTGATATTATCATTAAATTTTGGTGTTGCTTTTAGAAAAGAAATGAAAGATTCCTAAATGAAAAATGATCTCGGGGATAAGGAATTGATCAACTCTTGTCTATGAGATAAAAATAATTTTTCTAATACCTCAATATTTTAGGTGTTAGAATTAGTTAGGTGTGTTTTCCAAATGAGAATATCTTACAACTTTTTTCCTAAATAAATTATTTTTAAGCATATCTACGAGATAATATAATCTATTTTCATACACGTTTTAGAATATATCTAGTGTGAAAAAATATATCTACAACAAAGGTAAATTATATCATATAGGTATTGTTTCTATATAACAAAATTTATAAAATATCTAGAAATTAGGTGTATTTTTCAAATAGTAATGTCCTCCTATATTTGTACTATAGAAAAATATCATATTTTCCAAATATAAAATACCATATAAGTAAACTTCTTTTTATTTTGTATTTCTTAAAAATTAGATCAGTTCGGCCCAATTCACCCTAGTTGGCCGAGCCGGCGTGCCAAGGTTGCTTGGCCCTGTTTCTCTAAGCTTGAGCCATTGGCCAACAAAAAAAAAAAAAAAAAAAAGCGCAATTTCGACAAGCTCATGCTCATCGAAAAATCACGGCTCAAGTTTCGGACCTTAAGAAACTCAATCCAGGTGTTGTTTTTTTCCCCGACACCTCTAAATGATCAAAATAAAGTTAATAAATACTTTTAAAACTTTAAAAATAATTTTAATGCACATTTAAATAAAAAACACAATGAAATCATTTTTTTTTCTTTTTTGGCTCCAATCTACATTCTCTAATTATTTAATAGCTTGAAATTTTCATGGACAAACTCTTTTCTTTTTTTTTTAAAAAAAGAATAATATAGTTTTGCCGACCAAAATAACCTAAATAAGCTTGATTGACGTTACGTCTCTCCTTTCATCTCTCTCTTCTTTCCTTCCTCATCTCTACATTCAGTATCAAATATATTATTAAATGAAAATATGGATCGAAATAAAACATTCAAAAATATTTAGGATCAAAATATAAAAAAGTTATATAATTTTTATATCATTCCTCGAGAAAGGTCAAAAAATCACAAAAAAAACAAGGCTTTCATCCTGCAACTGCAATAAATGAGCAGTGATTTTAGTTTCATTGTAATGGCATTGATTCCTATCTAGATTGATTGCGATTGATCAAAAGAGTCTATTTCAGGGAAGGTGATTGGGCGAGGTAGGCTTCCATAGGCTAACAAAAGTTCCTTAACAATGAAATATCTTCCTTTAATCCGATGAGATGCAATTGGCCATTTGCTCACTGGTATCTTCTGCAAGTATTGTGCTTGGTAAGCGCTGCATAATCCTTACACAAGGGATAACCTTTTAATTCCTTCAAACCAAATGACTCTTTTAAACGTATATAGTTTTTGTCCCTTTCCTTCCTTTTATCTCATCTCTTTCAGACTCTCACCAGCCTGTACACCATCTTCTTTCAAGGACAATTGTCGAATTCTTATGCTGAATTGATAAAAAAAATTTGTAATTCAATAATAATAATTTTTTATAATAAAAAATCGTGAGTATAAATTTTAATAAATTAATTTCGCTAAGGATCATAGATGTGTAGATTAAAAAAGAAGAAGCTGAATTACATTGTGGCCCTTTTTAGAAGTTCTGTCGTAAATTTGACCTATTTTTGGTTGATTTTATTTTATTTTTCTCACATTTGAGAGTTGTAGAATTAAATTCGCCAATAACAAAATTTGAAAACTTAAAAATTGGTAAAGTTAAAAAAAAAGAAAAAAGAAAAAAGTACTAAATGGAAAAACATTTTTTTTTTTTTTTCATTCGGGCACTACAGATATATTGTTTGAGTTTCAAGATTCAAATTCTTACTACTGAAAAAAAAAAAAATTGCTCGTGGACCTTTTCCTTGGACCCGCAGTATATTGTCTTCTTATCTGGCCCTGTTGCCGATTAATACACCTACATTATGCTACTTGCATAAAAAACTTTATGCTTATAAAGAAACTTAAAAGAAATGTAGAAGCAAGAAAAGAGAAAAATAAAATGGAGCAGATAAAGAGTTCCAGTATCCTTTACTATAACCAGCCTAAAAATGGCATAACTCACTGTCTCGCACTAACCCCTCGTTCATTTTTAACTAGATCCAAACATCCCCATTTTCCCAGAAGGAAAAGAAGAGAAATACATAACCCACTCTGTCTCTCTCTCTCTCTCCGAAAGTATTTACACTTGTAACACTAAAGTACTTCTCTTTTTGTGGCCTCCTATTCTAGGGCTTCTGTTGGCTTCTTTGCTATGTAAGTATCCATTACATTTTATAGGTTCCTGTTTTTATTTGTTCTTGTTCGTTGCTGCTTTGAAATGGGTTTGCTTTGAAGTTAATTTTGATGTAAGGAGAAGCTCCCTTTTCTTCCTAAACAAAGTGAAAGCTAAAAATGTTAGTTCTTTGATGTAAAAGAGGGTCCTTTTTAGGTTTGGTAACTTGATTTAAGCTTAAAATTAGAGTTTTTTAAAGGAAATTTAGATGTCATTGTGAGAAGGAGGGATTTAGTTTGACTGTTTCTTTTTCTCTGTTTGGTTGCTAAGAAAATGAAGAAGATGAGAAGAAAACTTGGACTTAGTTTCATGGTTATGCTTATTTTTGTACCAGAAATGGACATCTGAGGTTCTAAGCAAAAGGGTTTAAAGGAGTGTCTTCGTTTTTTGTTTTCCCGCTAAATATGTTTAAAGTAGCTAGTCTCTTGGGATTTTCTTTGACCAGTTGCTTCACTTAGGTTTTGTTCTCTATTTTTTTTTTTTTTATTTTGTACTAACTCTAAAGCTTATACTTTTCCTTTTAATTATAAGGTTTTTCTTTATTTATGTATAAGCCTTTGTCTATTATTTCTATTTTAGTTTACTTTTTGGCACATGATTTAAGCTTTTTGGAGTTTGGATTTATTCTTTGATATATCGTGTTTTTTTCCTTTTGTTTTGCTGTTGTTCATTAAGGGAATTCTTCTATCTGGTTTGCATTAATTATCTCAAATCACTTTGCTTGCCGTTATTTTGAATCTTACTGTTCCCATTTAATATTATTCAACAAATTTCCAGTAGAGTTTCTAGCATAGTTACTTGTTTAGTATGCTGAAACTTAAAGTAATACTACTATGTATTCAATCCTCAGGTATGCTGACTTGTTGCTATTGCATCCTGTGATCTTCTTGGTCTCATTTCTGCTCTTAATAGGAAGCAGTCCACAATAACAGTTTGCAAACTTTAAGCTCAAATGGAAAATATAGTTGGGATTCATTCTGCTGGTCTTGGGTCCACTGCAAGGAAGAAGAGGAGTATTGTATCTCGTCAGCCTTGTTCTGATCCGCAGAAATTTCTACAGAATTATACTTTGCTGCCATCCTCTACACAATTTTTAGGCTGTGGACAGAATGAGGACCAAGTAGCATCTGGCTCAGATGGACCGAGAAGTTATAAAAGACTGAAGAAGCTTAAGCTCACGTTTGGTGGTGTCACTCATACAATACATGCCAAGCCTGCAATAAAATATGCTTTCAATGATGGGGCTTCCCTCTCAAACTCTTATCAAGGTTTTGATGCTGCTCGGGCTCGAGAGAAGTTACTTGTTCAGGTAATTCCTTGCTCTCTGCTGACAATTGCCATTGCTCGTATTTCTCTTTTAAACTTCAAAGGACTTGATTTACGATTGCTGAAAACATTCTCTCTCTTTCTCTCTTGATGAAGCCTCTTTCAAATTCTGTGCAATGATAATTGATAATTGATTCCTTTTGGTCATTCTAGTCTTACATTTGCCATACTTGCTTGTTGAATGTACTAATGCCTTAGCTTTAATTCATTTCGGCCATGATTTGATCTTCAATTTTTCCCCTTTTCTTCTCCCTTTCAATAAATATCCTCACCCTTTGTTTTTGTGGTGTAAACTGTGCATTATTTGATGATTAAGATTTGATGATGTTGATTCTAGGATTCTAGTTTCAAAAGGGGCAATTCTTCTGGAAGAAAGATGTCTGGTGAAAGTGTTGATGTGAACATTCCATTCCATTCTGAGGCAGTTCGCAAGAGTAATCGAGTTCCTAAGAGGCGTGCAATGGATGTGGAATTTGATGAAGATGATGACATTGATGAGGAAGTACGTTACCTTGGAAGACTCAGTGCTTCTAAGGAGAGAAAAAAGGGGATATCAATCGTTTCAGATGGTAGGCAAGAGGATAGGGATTATGAGCAAGAAGAACCTACATCAGATGATGAAAATGGATACACATGCAAGAAGCTGGGATTTGTTGGAGTAAGGAATGAATCAACTACAAATACACATAAGCGGGCTCTTCAGACAGGCAAATATGATTTTTTTGTGCCTGGCAGCAGTCTGCTTGAGTTCCCAAATGGTTTACCTTCACCCCCTCCTAAAAGTGAGTGTTTCTCTGTCTCTATGTTCTTTGGATCAGTCGCATTTTACAGCTTGGATAGGGAATGATAAAAGATAAAACTATTTACACCTTGGGTAATAATGGCTTGTTGCTAAACCTATTGTATTTTCCTTTATTTGTCTGTTGATGGCAGAACAAAAGACTAAGCTTTCTGAAGAAGAGCAGCAATTAAAGAAAGCTGAGGCTGCACAGAGGCGTAGAATGCAATCAGAGAAGGCAGCTAGGGAGGCTGAGGTTTGCTAATCATGCCATATGTTAGTTTTATAACTCCCTGGCAATGGATGGGAAATGGTCTAACTTTGTTTGTTTTAGGCCGAGGCAATCAGAAAAATACGCGGACAGGATTCTGGAAGAAAGAAGAAGGAAGAAAAGATGAAGAAATTACGTGACAAAGTGGTTCAGGTTTTTGGAAAATAGGCAAGGGACCTTTATCTTCTCCATCCCATGGTCTTTAGCAGCATTCTAATAAAAAATACTTATGTGCAGACAAAGGCTGCCAAGGCTGGTGCGCTTGAACCAAATACTGTTAGATGGGTCATTGGTCCCACTGGAACTACAGTCATTTTCTCTGATGACATTGGTCTGCCACACATATTTAATTCAGTGACATGCAGGTACAATTTCACCTTCTTCTCATCCCTCCAACCTTTTCCTTTAGAATGCTCTGTAGACTCTAAATATTTTGCATTCTGTTTTGCTCTGTAGACTGTAAGTATTGGCATTTTGTTCATTGTTAATTATCACTGTGCTTGTCTGTTTTATGGGATTTACAAATGTGGTGTTTTGATTTGCAGTTATCCTCCACCACGTGAAAAATGTGCGGGTCCAAACTGTACGAATGCATACAAGTATCGTGACTCGAAGTCGAAGCTTCCCCTGTGTAGTCTCCATTGTTACAAGGCTATACATGGAAAGATGCAACCGTTAATTACCTGCTGATATCAGAACTGTTCTTCCCAGGTCACTGAAAGAAATCGATGATGGTATATTTTGTAACCTTGTGTTGCTGCAAAGACAGCATGATCGGTCTCAATCTGAGGTCGGTTTAGTCAAATATGATTTATAGCATCCGTTTGTCATATGAATGTTTCTTTGTCAATTATATGAATGCACCCAATCGCTGAATGATGAATCTATCATTGTCCCGTTACTCCAGATAAAAAATTTGTAAATGATTGTCCAGTTACATTATCCGACAAATTATTTGGTTAATGAGGGGGACTTGAGTGTCATGAGATAGGTTAATAATTGCCGTCTCATAGAATGGCTCAGACCCAAATTCAGTTCCCTGCAGAGTAGCACTCCTTCAGCTCTCAGCATACGCTCATACACGTTGCATCTCTCGCATTCCTCTGGTAGAAGCAAGATTGGCTATGGATGGATAATTGAGGTCCAATAACTAGGTTGGTTCGGATCCTGTAAAGTGCGCACGGAGGTGGATTCTGTTAGTCTCTATGTCTGCTAACCCAGATCAATGTAAATATACAACAGGTTCGTAGGAGTAAATATGAAAACAAATGAAGCTGCATGAACATGGAAATACAAAAGCTTGAGCAGCTAGATAACCTTACCAAGCAATTCCACTAATTAAACTCTGGAAATGGAAACGTCTACAACGATCAAATATACTAAAAATACTTACAAACTTGTCAATGCAAATAAGTTGCTCATCGCATTATTAATTACAATAATCGAGTATGTCAAACAGATCGTGATATAAGAAATCCTGATATAGAAATACAGTTGATTTTTTCTTCGGTTTTTCCTTTTTCTATAAATTGCTTAACGAAATATCACTACATCTAAGATCCATCCATGAAGAAAGCGCCATATCCGCTAGATTTCATGAACTTCTTCAGCAAAAGAACCAAAATTGCAACGGTGAGTCCAACAGCAGCCCATGTGAACAAACGATCGTCAACTGGTTTCTGAACCCTAGTCACTGGCCTTTGCAGTAGCTGATCGGTTGAGGCTCTAGCAGGAACCTCTCTTGATACACTGGCTCCTGTAGGACCAGGGTTCACATTAACGGGACCTTCATGCACTTCTTCAATAACCGTTTCACCTACTTCCTGAATTTCGCCAACTACTGGATTTTGAAGCTCTTCAGCAGCAGCTATTGCCCCAGTATCTTGCGAACTTGCCTGGGCTTCAACCTCACTGTTAGGGTGTTCTTCAGAACCCTGTGCAGGGCTTTGTTGAGGTGGGTTTTGTTGAGGAACAGGCGGCGCCTTGCCAAGCATGTATTGATGAATCTGTGCTGTCAAATAGTTCATTAGCACAAAGTGTAACAAATGACACAAAACACAAGACAAAGACAAAAACAAACCTCATCAATGAGTTTTTGACGTTCAGGAGTCCCAAATCTTGGTGCTGCTTCACGAGATTTAACAGCCAAAACACGCCTCTCCTCTTTCTTGTAGTCTAGCGAGCCCAACGCACCATTTGGGCTGGTGGGCATGAATGCAATAAGTGCTACTAGTGCTGTTCGTACTGCCAACCAGAATAAGCAATACCATGAAACATCAGCCATATGCAGAGTTATGGAATCGATACATTCAAACTTTAAGAAAGTATCAGATACTCGTGGCCTTGAGCAGCCAGACCTTCTTAAGCGAAGAAAAGGGTATCAAAATCAAATTCACTCACACACCTTAATTAACTTTTAGTTCTAAAGAGAATTGGCCAAATCCTATCCGCATACAAAATTTAACAAAGTAGTTATTATTGCCACCTGATATTTTAGCTATCTATACAAATAATTTGATAAAGCCAACGATAGCAATTAAAAACTTACCACTCCACGATGGCTGCCAATGCTCAGGATGATGATTTGATATGCTTAAGCATATCTTTGTCTGCGTTTCGAAACGCCCATTTGGCTGTCCAAACAAAAACAATAACAACAAAAAAACTCATTAACACCTTAAAATTTTCAAATAAAAACCACAAAATTTCTAACAAAAAATTTCAGAAAATCAATATTTCTTCGTTAGGTATTACCGACAACAACATAAAAGAAGGAGGCTTAAATGGATACTCAGCAGGCAATTGAATCCTCCCATGATAAATCCCACCTTCAAATTCAGTCTCGCTTGTTCCTCTTATAGCAAATTGCCACTCAAATATATTCTCCTATTAAAAAAGGGAAAAAAGGAAGCAAAATTAATAAATATAACAAAAACCCAGAATTAACAAATAATTTGATTTTTCAAATTGAACATACCTCAAGAGGGAGGCTCATGAAATCATCAGATGGGTTCGATTGCATCTCTTTAACTTCCTGTAAAATCCTCTTCACAGCTGGATTTTTCAGATTGTACCTGTCCTCTGCCATTACTTTTTTTTAGATCGTCTGATCTGATCGATCTACCACCACTTCGGTCCGATTAGCTGCCCGTTGACCGGTTATATGGAGACAAATTAAGGTCTGTGAGTAGATGAGAATGGAGAGTTCAAGGGACGGAAGATAAATAGATATTTGGTTGTTGGTGTTGGAGCTGGAGTCGACAAAGAACGACGGTTACGGAGCTTCTATTCACACGTCATTTGATTCGCAACTGGTTACGTGTCACTCTATTATTGGATAGGGTTTGTCTTTGCATTTTCGCTGCCCAATATCAATCCATTCCATTGCTTGAAGGAATTGTTTATCATGGGCTGGCCTTCTTCAAATTGGGCCTTGGCTGAAAGGCAGGATTGGTGTGGATTTTCTTTTTGCAAAGTTTTAAATGCAGGATATTGTCAAGACCAAGGTCCCCTCGATCAGGCGTCAATAATATTTTTCTACTGATAAGGTTTTTTATTTGAGAAGAGGTGGCAGAATAAAAAAAAGGGATTTTTTTTTTTTTTTTTTAAGGTCATGGTTCCAATTTATATATGCTCGATATTTTAATTAATTACTTTAATTAATTTTTATTCGATATCTATTTTATTTTTTATTTTTATTTTGATATGGATTCAAATTATATGATAAATGAATTGAATTAAATTAATTACATAACTCAAGACAAGGTCTAGGATTCATAATAATGGACACGGATATTCTGATAGGGCTAGTGTCGACATCTTGTTTTTGAGATATATTAGGTAGATTAGCTTGATGAGCTCGTAGTAGTATCCATTAAAGGAAGGCTAGTATTCATGTCTTGTTTTTGTGATGCGTTAGAAAGGTTAGCTTAGTGAGTTCAGAGCAAGGTCTGTTAAAAGAAGACTCAATTGTTACTTCGATCATTTTAGTCTTTGTTAGCAAGTTGAATTAGTTAAATCCAAAGAGCCTAAATCTTTCAAGCCGGATATAACCGTCCAAACTTCAATGACATGGTATAATCCTAGTGGTTAAGGATCATCTTTTTTCATTGTAAATACTAACCCCATATCATTATGAGGGAATCGAAACTTTTGCATAAGAGAATTTTTTTATTTTAGAACTTTTAATGTTTAACAAAAAAAAAAAAAAAAGCATCTAAACTCTCCATCTTAAAACTTTTTTATTCACATGCCGGACAACATTTAAAACTCTAACTATTTGGACTTTGACTACTCATCTTTCAATTAGGCAACATCGAAAACTCTAATTGCTTAAACTTTAACTATCTATCTTTAACTTATTCGATTTACGTCTTATTAGCGTTGCTTTCTTCTTCTTCACACCTTTCACTATTTACTTTTTTTTTCTAATTGGTTGGTTGTCATTGCTTTTATAAATTATAATATTAATTTTTTTTATCATGACGAGTTTATCGACCAATCTCCTCAGTAGACTTTAAAAGACTAGATTTGAATTCCTTTACATCAAAAAAAAAAAAAAAAAAGAAGGAAAAGAAAAGTGTGCAAATAGTGATGATATCAAGTATAGTCGGACAAACCTACCTTAAATACAAATCAGTCCAGCGGGTAATAATAGCTTAGATTTTAATTATTATTCGTTTTTTTTCACCATGAATCTCTTGTGAAGGTTGAAAATGGGGCGACTTGAGTTGGGCATGAGCCATATAGCATAAATTGATGCAAGACCTAATTGATAGATGAAACATTGCAAATTTTCAACACTATGTGCTTTTATGCTTATTTTCAAAGTTTTGGGCTATTTACCTATCACTACGATTTTTTTCAGAGAGTAGCTAATCGGAAGCGTGGATCAATGATGATGTCATCAAAACAAGAAAATAGGATTAGTTTGAGTAATAGTTTTGCAATATTAAAAAAACACCAAAAATTTTGGACTATGTAGTGATATTTTTATAATTTTTAGATTATATTAAAATATTTATACATGGATTTTTTCAGATATTATATTTTAATTTTTGATGTTTTTAAAAATTTTATTTTGATCTTCAAATTTATTTATATCACAATTTGGCTCTTAAATAAAGAGCGAGAGAGAAACCACGATTAGCTCTAATTCGGCTTCTTTTGTTATCGATCTTACATTCATATTATTTATTTTAGTGATGGATATTATTTATTTTAGTGATGCGAGTGTGTTCATGGTGATTTTAAACCATAAAATAATTGAAGAAAAGTAGATCGAAATCTAGAAAAATTGAATTTTTCTATATATATGTGTGTGTGCTCACGCGCACGCCCGTGCGCATTGAAATGCTTTTTTAATTATATTTTTTTTTGCCTTTTTTTTACAATTTTTTTTATTATTGAACTAGATACAACAATTATAGAAAATCAATCATTATTTTTTTGTTTGTTTTTCACACTAATTGACAATGATAAAATATATATGATATGTTTTCGAATTTAAAATGAACACACACCCACACACACACACACATATTAATCTTATTATTTAAAATTAATTTTTATTTTTTATTTTTTCATTTCTTATGGAAATTCTCAAAAAATTAATTATTATTTTTTATATAATTTTATTTGTTAATAAATATGACTCATTTTTCTCTATGTATGGATTTTTGAATAAAATTTTGGAATATAACTATTTTATATTTTTTAATGAACAAATACATTGGATTATATTACTCTTATTTTTTAAATTATTTTTTCATTTCTTATGGAAATTATAAAAAAATTAATTATTATTTTTTATATAAATTTGTTTGTTAATAAATATGACTTATTTTTCTCTATGTATGGATTTTTGAATAAAATTTTGGAATATAATTATTTTATCTTTTTTAATGAATAAATATATTGGATTATATTACTCTTATTATTTAAAATTTATTTTTTTTAATTTGTTGTTTCTTATAGAAATTGTCATAATTTATATTTTTATATAATTTTATTGTTAATAAATGTGATTTATTTTTCTCTATGTATGGATTTTTGAATAAAATTTTAGAATATCATTATTTAATTTTTTTTCATATATTGATATAGTTCATATGATGAATTTTTATGATTTTCAAATGAGAGTGTTAAAAAACTAAAAGTATATTTTAGACAGTTTGTCTCAAACCTTCTAAAAAAATCAATTAAAAAAAGTTAAATTCCTGTGTTTTATTTGCTTTTTCTATATATAGTTAAAATTTATTAAAATTAATTTTATATTTTTTTATTTTAGTCTATTAAATTTAATATATTTGTTGCAATTTTTTTTAAAATATTTTTTTATTTAAACTACTAAATATGGTCAATGATGTGTATATATAAAAAAAGATAATTGATACTATTATAAATTAACTATGCATCTACACACATAACACCAATAATTTGTCATTGATTTTTTTAAATATTTTTTTTGAAATAAAACAACTGAAATAATATTTTAGGAGAACCATTTAATGATTTCAATACAATTTTTTATACTAATATTATTGATTATTTTGTGAATAAATATATACAAATCAAATGTACATATTTTTTTAAAATAATCTTTTCATTAGAATTAAATAAGAATAAAAAATATTTATTTATTATTTTATTTATTAATTTTTTTGATGCAATCTTATAAAAAAATATTAAGAAATTTTTAAATTTTTTTTTATTAAATTTTCAAGTTCTCATTTAAAAATTAATACATTAAAAATAACAAATCATATTTGTTAATTATAAAATTTATGAAAACCGAAGAATAAATTATAATTGAAATTAAATATTTTTTTAATTTTTAATTCAATATATTTTAACAAATATATAATACAGTGTAAAATATTAAATTAAAATTATTTTTTATAATAACTTCATATTTTATGCTCGATTCGCATCATAATACGAATGACAAATTAGGTTATTCTAGTCAACGAGATGGATATTTCGGAGGCTCAATTGTTGGTGCTTTCTGAGGTGACTGCCGATTAGGTATGTTTTGCTATTTGGTTCAATTAAGAACAGACCATTCATTTCAGATTGATAAGATTTCTAAGGTTTTTTTTTTTTCAAAACTTGGACCCAAGAAATCTACAAGGCTGGAGCCCAATACCACGTTTTAAATAGGTAGACACAAGTGACATGCCCCCGTACGTCAAGTGTCAACCGATTAATTCTTTGCTGTTTCTGCAATCTCCAATTATTCAATCATGGAGAACAAGGGAAGGGAAAACATTGGGGTTGCGCTGACCAAAAATTTGAGAAAATATTGATGTACTCGTACTTCACTTAGCAATCTGCCAGGTAAACAACTCCATCTTATTGCTCGACCAAGCACAACACAGTTTTCTTTAATACTACTATGTATTTCTATTGCTGTACTGTAATATAATCACATTGCAAATCGTGACGGGCCAAAAATGTTGATAGTAATATCCGGATTTGACCTGGTCTGCCGTTGTCTGGTTGTATCATTGAGTAATGACAGCCCAGGTGAGTTTTCTTTTTAAGGCAGAGTAATAGAACCAATTGAAAAATGCAGACAAACCTGTCAGATTGGCAAATCCAATATTAATTCTTGCAAATCTGTTTGATTCAGGCTACATTGTTAGTTTCCTGTCTGTACGTACTTCTCCATTTAGTATTTCTACTTATAATATAATATAGACCATCCATATTGTTTGTCAGAATGTGGTAATTGTTGCTTAATTAATTACTATCCGTGTTCTTTAGCTTTTGTACCATTCCTGGCTCCACTTCTTAGAAAATTTATTGTTAATAGAGTATGACATCAGCTTGAATTTGTCTCTGAGTGCATTATTTGGATTTAGTCCTTGTATCCAGTTGGCATTCGAGTTATCAAATGATCGAATGACATGGTTTAGGCTGCTCGTCTGTTTTATATATGTGATTGTTAGGGGTGGGAATGGTCCAGATGATCAACTTATAATATACAATACAAAGGGTATGTCATGATGAAGAAAGAATCAAGAATCAGAAGACTCCAAAAATAACAATCTTTGTTCATAACTAATTTGTCTCAACTTATAAAGCTAGTGATATATACCAACAAGAACTGAGAAACAAAACTGTGAGTTAGTTTTTGATTTGAGATGGAAGAAGCCATGCGTTCTTTTGAGGATTACAGTTTTGATGGGATTCAAGATATGTTGAGCTCTAAAAGTAGAAGTCGAGAGAGTGTGGAAGGAGTGAACATAAGGAAACAAAGTCATTTCTACGGATCTGGGGATGGGATAGAGGTTGGGGGCAATGATTATTGTTTTTATCGGGATGTCTCAATGGGGGAAGGATTCTTGTTCTCCAAGTATCAGAATCAAGAACAGAAGCAACAATCATACTTGGATTGCCGACTTCTTGGCGATCATAGTTTCAATGTCCGTTCTCCACTACTTCAAACATCTCTAGACGGAATAGAAAAGCTTGATGAATTCCCAGCAGGAACTCAATATGTTTTAGAAAACCGGAAGGAAAATGGGTACCCATTTTCCTTAGCCTCTTTAGAGCTTCATGGTGATCGGCAATTGAAAGGTGAAAGAATAGTTGATAGAAGCAGTGGTACACCATGCGCAAAAGTGATGGGCGCAGAATTGTCTACTGAAGAAATCATGAAGATGGCTGGAGCAAAGTTCATCCAATCCTTTTCCCAAATGGTTGACATTGCTTCCATGCTTAACAATCCGTATGATCTCTTTTTCTCTGGTCTTTCTGAGGATGCGGCCAGGAATGTGGAGCTTGCTGAATTCCTTCTAGCTTCTGCTGAGAAAGTAGGTAATCAACAATTTGAACGGGCGAACAGATTGCTGAACTATTGTGAGCACTTGTCTTCCAACGGTGGAAATCCAGTTCAACGAGTAGTTCACTATTTTTCCGAAGCTCTTCGAGAAAGGATTGACCGAGAAACAGGAAGAATCACACCAAAGTGGTCTGAGAAAATGAAGTCATTTGATCTTGATAAGGCAATGATGACTCTGAATCCTGCCATCCTATCATGTTACCAAAATGTTCCATTCTCCCAGGTTGCACATTTTGCTGGAATCCAAGCTATTGTAGAAAAAGTAGCCAGGGCAAAGAGGATTCACATAATTGATCTTGAAATTAGGAATGGAGTGCAATGGACAGTGTTGATGCAAGCTTTAGTGTCTCAACATGGATCTCCCCTCGAGCTTCTCAAGATAAGTGCCATTGGGTCTACTTCAAAAAATTCGATTGAGGACACGGGTAAAAGGTTAATGAGTTTTGCGGAGTCCATGAATATACCTTTCTCCTTCAAGGTAGTCATGATATCAGACATGCTGGATCTAAAGAAAGATCTGTTTGAGCTAGGTGCTAAGGAGGCAGTTGCTGTCTACGCTGAAAATTATTTGAGGAACCTGATTGCACTGCCAAATCGTCTTGATTCCATAATGAAAGTGTTGAGAAATATCAACCCGCATATAGTGGTGGTCATGGAAGTTGAGGCCAACAACAATTCACCATCTTTTGTGAGCCGTTTCATTGAAGCTCTTTTCTTCTATAGTGCTTATTTTGATTGCTTCGATGCTTGTATGGGGCGTGACAGTCCAAACAGGATGATTGCAGAATCAAAGTTCATTAATCAAGAAATCAGAAATATTGTGGCCACTGAGGGGGAGGAAAGGAAGATTCGACATGTGAAGCTTGATGTTTGGAGGACATTTTTTGCTCGTTTTGCAATGGTGGAAACAGAACTGAGCAAGTCATCCTTGTACCAAGCACGCCTATTGCTTAATAAAATTGCTTGTTGGAGTTCTTGTACACTTGATATGAATGAGAAAAGTCTCCTTATTGGGTGGAAGGGTACACCAATCTATTCTCTTTCTGTTTGGAAATTCGACAGGAAGCAAAAAGGGTTGAAATGAAATGGACTTCTCATACACAATATAGCCCTCTTTAATTAGCCAAGTTATGCATTCACCGATCAAACAACTTATCTCTGGCTATTACTATTTGGTAAAGAAATGCATATGCATATGCTGATATTATATTTTATATTTTTTTGTGTTTGGAAAAGATGGTTTTTTTGACCCCAACACACTTGAGATGCGAGTCTAAGATCATCACTGTACGTATCATGTTTTTGGTCCTGCGTACAGTTGGTGAAGGTGTACGTAACGAATTTTTTGTGTTGAAGTTTATTTCTAAATTAAATTTTGTTATGCTGTTTGTTGCTATTTGCTTTCTGAAGAAAGACTTCTTTCTGTCATCTCTACCTTCTGCCTGCTGTGCAGTTGTCTTGCTTTTATTCTTCTAATCTGTATTTATTGCCTGCTGATGGTGTTAGTCAAATTTATCCAGGATGTTCGTTCTTTGATATTGAATTTCTTTCATATCCTCGTTATAGTCATTAAAGCAAGCATATAAGCTAAAATAGGATTTTGTTCACTAACAATATACACCTCTTTGTATCTTTGTATTCCCACAGCTGCAGGCTATATATGTGTGTGTTTGAATTGTTCTCCATCAAGAACAAATAAAACGTGATAGCACCATAATAATTATTTGTTAAAAGGGAATCTTGATGTCTTCAGGCATTGTTTACAGTACTCTTTCACTATTCAGTATAGGCTCCATATTCACCATCCTTCTTAAGACCTAATCCATCTCCATATCGATGTATATGTGCTATTCTTGCAAAATTCTGTTTAGAATTCTCAAATATGATATCATCAGCTTGATTTTGGCCTGCGAAGCCAATGTTTGGGTTCCAACGTTAACCCTTCCTTTAAATTTGCCATTAAAATTAGATGTTAACTATGTTGTATTTTGTTGTTATCTGAATGGCATTTACATTGTAGACCATATGAGCAGCCTTGACTGTGTCAAACATATAAATCAAAGTGACCGTACAACTCTACGAGGTCCTCTCTCAAGGATTTCATTTCTGCGGGTGTTAAAGACAACTCAAGTTCTACAAATATAAGTTCTGAGAGCGTAAAAGGGGAGCCTGAAGAGGAACAAATTATGCAGTCTTATGGAGCAGAAGATTGGGAAAATTTATCCAGCATTTATTCCCTTTATTCTGATGATGGGTTCTATCAGGATGATAAATCCCAGCAGGAAGGTTTCGGTCCCTCTCAGAATCAGCTACAAACATCTTTGGATTATGGACTTTTTGATGACCACAGGTTTGATATTTTGTCTCCATTACCTCAAATGTTTCTGGAGAAGACTGCTAAGCCAGGTGAAATTCAAAATGGCATTCAATATGGTGTTGAGCATGTTGCAACTTATTTAACCTCGCTTAAACTGCCAAGAAATTACCGCAATCGGTTCAAACGTTCGAGCAGTGATAAAACAATTCAGCCAAGCAAGGACACACCCTTCACAAAGGTTAAAAGCCAAGGTTTGTCGACGGAGGAAATCATGAGGATTGCTGGAGCAAACTTTATTCAGTCCTCGACCAAAATGGCTGATGTTTCTTATATGCTTAAAAATCCTTTTAATCTTTCTCTCTCTGGCTTTTCCAGTGAAGAGACCAAGAAAGTCAAGCTATCTGAATCCCTTCTGGCTTCTGCTGAGCAAAGTATGTGATAGACAATTTGATAGTGCAAGCAGATTGCTGAATGATTGTACTTGCTTGTCTTCTAATACTGGAAATCAAGTTGAAAGAGTCGTTTATTATTTTCATAGGCTCTTCAAGGTAGGATTTATAGAGAAACAGGAAGAAAACCGAGGTTTCAGAAGAAAAGCAGCCATTTCATGTTGATGAGGCAATAATCTCTACAAGCCCACCACCTTGGCATGTCACCATGATGCGCCCTTCACTCAGCTGATTGCACAGTTATCTGGAATCCAAGCCATTATTGAAAACGTGGCTGATGCAAAGAGGATTCATGTGATTTATCTTCCAATCAGGAATGGAGTGCAATGGACAGTGCTGATGCAAGCTCTGCTGTCACAATCTGAATGCCTTCTTGAGCTTTTGAAGATAACTGCTGTTGGGACTACTTCGAAACATTCAATGGAAGAGACTGGTTAGAGGTTAATGAGCTTTGTCCGGACCATTAGCTTGCCTTTATCTTTTAAGGTAGTTCTGGTAACTGATATGCTTGATTTAAGAGAATCTTTTTGAGCTGGATGCTGATGAAACAGTAGCTGTCTACTGTGAATATTTACTGAGGACCCTGCTTCCACTTCCTGATGGACTGGAAGCTATATATGATAAGAGTGATCAAAAAGCTCAATCCATGTATAATGGTGCTCAGTGAAATTGAGGCAAATCAAAGCTCACCAGCTTTTGTGGACCGTTTTATTGAAGCCCTTTTCTTCTGCAGTGCCTATTTTGATTCACTTGATGCTTGTATGGAACCAGTTGACCAAAACAGGATGATTATAGAATCGATGCACTTTGCTGAGGGAATTCGGAATACTGTGGCCACTGAGAGAGAAGAAAGGAAGATTCGGATTGCAAAGGTTGAAGTCAGGAGGGGATTCTTTTCCCGTTTTGGGTTGGAGGAGACAGAACTGAGCACATCATCTCTGTCTCAAGCATATCTGGTGGTTAAGAAATTTGCTTGCTGGAGTTCTTGCACTCTTGATATGGATGGTAAAAGCCTGCTTATTGGGTGGAAGGGAACCCCATGCAGTTCATTCTATCTGATCTGCTCTTCTTTAGTTTCTTTTTTTTTAATCAAAATTTATGTATGATTTCTCATATAGATATTGCTTTATTCTCATATGGATATTGCTTACTTCTCAAACGGACATTGCCTTTGGCATAAAAGCACCACTAACCATTCAGATTTCAGGGGACATGTAGTGGCTATTCCATGTCACAGATTGATCTAGTATTTGTAGCTTGAAACAAATTCATACGAATTATCAGAATCGATCAAGGATATAAATAAGATTGATTCAAGATCAATCAAAATCAAGAAATCAAACTAATACACTTATAGAAGATTGGGTGTCGGGCAATGTTCATTACTAAACCCATCCAGGCAAATTAAACAACGCGGTTTTGCGAGAAAATTCAGTGGTTTTCTTCTCCGAAACGCATCTTCGATGTAGTTCGTTTTTATAAAAAAGGTGTGTGTATATATATATATATATATATATTGCCTCTGGGCCGCATGCTGACCTGCGTTGCCGAGCCCAAGTACGTACAGGTAATACAAATTTAAATACTAGATAATACATACTTTGAAAATAATGCTTTCCACAAGTATGTTTCCACATTAAATCTAACCTCTCAAGATTGTAAGACATCAAAAATATAATAAATTATTATTCTAGGATTTGAGATTAAAAAGGTTAACATTTTTTTTTAATATTATTTTCTTTTATTTGAAAATGAAATCTTATTCATATATATAGAAATAGAGTAAGTTTATCAATTTATCCAAAAATATAAAATAAATCGACTTTTCCTTTACTTTTAAGTAATATTTTCCTTTTCAATCATGAAAATTAATAAGATAAAAAAGATTTTTATGTATCGAATTTAGCAAAGATAAGAAAGTTCCAATAAAGTTCGGAAAATAAATTTGTTGAAAAAAAAAAGATGTATAAATATTAGGAATAAAAAAAATTAGACTATGTTTTAAAAATTTAAAAATACATCTTATTTACTCATTCTTCACATATACACATCTAAAAAGACTACCTTAAACAATTTATTTTTTTAAATGTACTCGGTTCTTAAAAAAAAAAAAGTTTTGATGCTGTAGATTTAGTAATATATAGGTTTTCTTAGGGGACCTGCTACAGGGATATAAAAAAATAATCTTTTTTTTTTTTTTTGAAAAAAAATTCCCTAGATGAAAAAAACAGAAAATAAATAGGACAATCATAGTTTTTTATTAAATTTATATCAAAGATAAACATATGTTTAACTTTCTATATATTTTAATTATTATATGTTTAGATATTATATATTAAACACTATGCATTTTATTCACTCCTCTTTCATTCCGCACTATTGGAATAAGTAAAGCTATTCTTTACCAGTGATAAGAAAGAGATTACATTTTATATATAATTTTGTTTAATAAAGTATTTTGGTCTTCCATATTTTATTTTTACTAATTTAAATAAATTTGTTCATCCTTCCACAACAATACACCAACATATAATTAAGCTAATATTTACTAATTTATTTAGTTATGCATAACCATCCCTATTATAAATAGAATTCTCATTTCTACGTCACAGGCAAGATTTTTGGTTTTTTTTCTTTCTTTCTTTGAATTTCTAAATTCGGCTCGTTCCCAATCATGTCTCCTTTGCTTTGAACAATAGTCACCTTCTTATAAGCGGATTTGAACCACTAACACAAGGATTTTCAGTCTTTTGCTTTAATTTATGAAAAATGATTAGTGACACCATGGTGATAGAAACTATTTTCAAAAATAGAAAAGGTTTAAGGGTAAATTTAAAAAATAAAAATGTTAAATGACATAATACTAATTGAAATAAAATATCATTCATTGTATTCCTCTAAGAAAACATTATCCTTATAAAATTATGGTGATTTTTTTTTGACACCACTGGTGTCATGGAGCATTGCTCTTGATTTATTGAGTTATTCCAACTATCTATTTAATTAATGTCAGTGTTTTATTCATCCATGAGTCTTTTATTTCATCGGACAAAGTTCTTTATTAAGATGGAATAAGCAATATGTCGTTGGATGTTGGAAATTTAATTTAATTTCATATAAATTAGTTTTTTTTTTTTTGAAAAAATATCAAGTCAAATACACATAAAAATGAAGAGTATAAAATAAATCAATTATAAAATTAAAACCATAAAAACATCAAATTTACCTAAAAAAACTCTCTTTATCGTAGAAGAAACACCTATGAGAGTAACTCCAAAATAATTTACTACAATAAAAAAGTAATACAATCATTCAATTTTTTTCATGAATTTGAAAAGTAAAAATATTGGCAATAATACAACATTGTTTTCTAACTAAATTTGTCTTATTACAAAAACCTATTTGCAAAATCTTTGTTTTCTACAAAACTTAATATTACTAATTTGAACAATGTAATTTTCTGTGGCTGAAATACCAAAAAATTAATGTTAAAGAAAACCTCAAAAATTTGTATACCAAAAATACTTACTCTTTTTTTCTGCAGCAAATAAAGAGAAAAAAAAATTCTTTTTTCCTATTGTTGCTCTCTCTCTCTCTCTCTCTGAAGCAAAACAAGACAACCATCAAACTTTTTAATTCAGTGCCACGCTTAGCATACCCAATGACCTTTAGTCTTCCATTTCATTTTCTGTTCCACTGTATTTCGTAACCTATTTAATTTTTAAGGGTTATGCTAAAGTCACTCATGGACTGAACCTGTAGCATACACCCAACACTTCCATCCCCATCCCTTTCTAATATTTCCCTTTCTAGGAAAAAAAAAAAGAAAGAATTTTCTAAGAATGAAGATGGAGTCAACCAATTGATGGTTGTAGATTAAAGTCAGAATTGGCAAAAATAATAGTCGCAGCTCAGACCTTAATTCTTAAATCCGCATGTCCATATTCAAAGGAGTTGTTAGATTAGGGTTTGTAGATAATGATTGGGTTTGTAGAAATTAAGCAAATTAAAACAGAGAGACAAAGGACCCACTGCAAGAAAAGAAACCAATAGAATGAACCCAATTCCATTTTGAATGCACGGAACCATCACTTGGAGATGATGGTTGGATTTGTAGAAAGCAAACGAAAAGAGAGAGACAAAAGACCCACTCCAGGAAAACAAATCAATGGAATATTATTGATGAACCCAATGGATTCAACGCACGGAACGATCACTTCAAGATAATGGTTGGATTTGTAGAAATTAAGCAAATTAAAACAGAGAGACAAAAGACCCACTCTAGGAAAAGAAATCAATGGAGTATTATTAATGAACCCCATCCCGTTTTCAACACACGCAACCATCACTACGAGATAATGGTTGGATACGTAGAAATTAATTAAGCAAATTAAAACAGAGAGACAAAAGACCCGCTCCTGGAAAAGAAACCAATGGAGTATTATTGATGAACCCAATTCCATTTTCAACGCACGGAGCCATCACTTCGAGATTCAAGAGTAAATAATAACCTGAGTTAACTTAGTCAGATACACACGCTATATATATACATATATACATATGAGAGAGGAATGCTAGCAATATTTTTTTTAATACTTCCTCTTAAACACTTGCTCACATATCATCCAAATTAGCAAACAAAAAATAATTCATTTTCTATGTTTTTAGAAATTTTTTATATTAAAACTAATTTTATATTATTTAAAAAACTAAAACAATCATCTTTTTTATTTATTTAGCTTTAAAATTATCTGAAAAACTATTAAGTTGAAACTAAGAATTAAGATTTATTTTTTCTTTCTTTTATCTTGAATGCACATATTGAACGCTTTATCTTCACAATAAAAATATTTTAGTCTTTTAAATAATATAAGAATTTTAAAACAAAAATATTTTAGTCTTTTAAATAATTTGAGAATAGTTATAATTTAAAAACACGGAACATTCTAATTTGTAATTTTTTTGTTTAGATGTTTGAGGCAGCTTAAAAAAAAATTGACATGAATACTTTTATTGAATAAGTGTTTAAAACAAAGTATTAAAAAGAGTTTTGTTATTTCTCATTCATATATATTGTTATTTTCCTATTATCTTTCTCTTCAATTTTACTATTGTTACTCATATATATAAACAATAGTAGAATTGAAGGAAAAGATAATAAGAAAGTGAATTCACTATAAAATAAAGTGAATACAAGAGATAACAACTATAAATAGTCTCTCAATCTTTACAAAATACTTTACACAAACCAATAAACAATCAAGTCTATTTATAGGCTTCAAGATTAGGAAAAGAATTGGAATTGACTATGAATCATTAAAAGATGCATAAATAATTGAATAAATTGCATCGTCCTTTCAATTTCTCAATTTCTCATAAACAATCAAGTCTCGTCCGTAGGCTTCAAGATTAGAAAAATATTTGAAATGGACTATGAATCATTAAAAGATATATAAATAATTGAATAAATTGCATCGTCCTTTTAATTTCTCATATTGAATGGTGATTTGAATCACATAAGTACCGAAAATATGAAATGAACATTCATTGTTTCATAACACTCCTCTTTGAATGTTCATTGTACAAGGAACATGTCTCATTAAAGCCTTACTATGAAAAAACCCAATGAGAAAAAAATCCTAGTGAAGAAAAAAGAGTACAATATTTATTGTACATATTAATCTCTATGTTAGGCTCCTTCGTTGAAAACATCATCTAAGATCTTTAAGACGATACCTCTCAATATCATTTTCTCAAAAGTTGTGATAGGTAATGTTTTAGCGAACAAGTCCGTGAGATTGTCAATTTGATTTATTCTTCTTTTAATTGAATTATGCAAACAACATTATCTTCATATAATATTGCTGGAGCTTCTTTGTTGGTAGATAAACTGCATGTCTCTTAGATATCATGGATTGTTGATTTTAGCAAAGCACATTCTCGATTTACCTAGTAAATTGGTATTTCTACATGATTTAAACATGTAGCAGTTATAGTTTGCTTCATAGAACATTATGATATAGCTATATCACCATACGTGAATGCATAACCCATTTATGATGGAGTTTTATATAGATCGGATAAATAACCTATATTTGCATAATTAATTAAACATGACTTTGATTTATTTATGTAAAATAAATACCATATCAATTTTTTATTAAAGATAACGTAGGAAAT